TTCATTTCTCCCACCACCGCTCAAAATCTTCTCCCAAGCAAAATTCAGAGCACTGGCAACTTCTACAGACTTCATGTGGGTGGCCATCTGCGCTGACAGGAACCCACTGAAGTCAGCCCAGGTGCAGTTCTCTGAAAGCAACTGTGTGTTGTGGCCTCACATGGAGTGATGTCAGTAAAACGGTTTTGTTTCTCTCTTTTATTTTTTAAAAAAAGCCCTGTTTGAACTTTGGATGCTTGTTATTAAACATTAATGTGAGTGTTATTTTCTGAGTGTAGAAAGCACATGCATCCCACTGATTCCAAGCTGAGGTAAGTATGATCTCAAGAAAATAGATTTAGTGGGGCATGACACAAATTTAGAATCATAATTCTATGACTCTGAATTGGAAGGGACTTGCAAGATCTTGAAATGAACTCCTGGCGTCTCATGTGAATACCCAAATATCAAACTCTATGATTCAGAGTGTTGTTCAAATGCCTCTTGAACTCCAGCAGCTTGGGGCTGTGCCTGCTGCCTTGTGCAGCCTGTTCCATGCCCACCACCCTCTGGTGCAGAGCCTTTTCCTAACATTCCTCTGACGCCCCCCTGATGCAGCTCCATGCCCTCCCTAGAGCCCTTTTGCTGTCACCAGAGAGAAGTTGACATTTGTACCAGAGTGCCATGTATTCATAGGCCCAGACCGGAATTTTTTGAAACCCATCTTCAGTGGAAAGGAGTAATAAATTTGCCTCAGCAGTGCACTTGTATCTGCAGGGGTGTTGCCAGGATAAAATGAAAATCTCTAATCAATAGCCAGGCAATCCATAACATTCATGCAGGAATGATGGGCTGTCTAAATCCTTCCCGTACATGTGAAGAACTGCTGCATCTGAGGTGAGTATTTCAGCCTCGTATATAAAGTTATTTTGTGCCCAATTAATACTTTTTAATGAAAAAAAACCAAAACAGTACAGTAGCTTTCATGGGAAAATATAGCGGTCAAAAAATTGAAGAAAAAAAAAAGAAAGCTGTGAACTGATGCTTTTGAGAAAGCCAAGTTCAAAATCCTGGTTTCAGTCAGTAAATACAAGTTTTCTGCACCCCAGGCAGATGTCCTTAGCACATCTTAAACAGTTGCCATGAATAAAGCTTCTCTCCACAAAAAGACACTATAAAGCTCAAGTTTTGCTCTAGTACAGATTTAAAAAACAAACAAAAAATAAACAAACAAGCAAAAAAAAACCCAAAAAACAAAAAACAAACAAACAAAAAAAACCCAACAACACCCCAAAAGGTTAGATCTCAAAAATCCATCCTAATGAATGAGAAAGCCTTCTCCATTTCCTTCACTATCTCCGTTTTTTACTCAGTCTATAAATCACAGCAGAGAATAAAGCAAATATGGCAAAGCTGCTATTTGTCAGGAAAAAGTAATGAGCAGAAAGAATTAGTGCTTTTCGGTCCTGAAATGACAGATAAAAGAAAAAAAGAAAACAAGAAAAAGCAGTTCGGTTAAACTGCCTTTCTGAAGCAGGTAGGTTTCGTCATTCAAGTTTCCAAGAAACCCAGCAGTAATGAATAACTGTCAAACTGAAAATTAGTTTTTTCAGGATTTGCTCCAGAACACTGGGTCTCTTCACCAAAAGTATTCTGCATAGTCTATATACTCTACTATTCTGGTCACAAAGAAATGACCTGCATTTAAAAAAGCCAAACATAACATCAAAGTTCACGTTAGCTCTTTGGGGGAGGACTGAAGGTCAATGTCAGCATGAACAGATTTGTATTTATATCATATCTCAATCTTCCACTCCTGATGTGGTCCAGAGCATATAATAGAAAAGGCTGTGGCTGATCTCTCAGTTCTACTTAGTTGTGTTTGTGATTTATAACGTATCTGGAGTGCAACCTGTACCACCACACTGGGCAGGTCCATCTTTTGGCCCCGTAACCAGTGCAGTTTATCCAAGCAAATGGCTGTACTCCCACTGGTCAGTGACAACTGGAGATTCTCCTTCTAGCAGAAGCTCTGACATTATCTTCATAGCCGCATTCATGTGATCAATTCATTTGAAATACAGAGTAATATTTCTAGCTTTCAATTTAAGAAAGAGAATGAAAAAAACCAACACATTGTCACTACAAGAAGTGAAAGAAGTAAACAAGAAAACAAAATAAAGCAACAATCCAGATATTATCTCCATTAATTGGTTAGAAGTAAAATTGAAAATTATTTTTTTTAAACTATTTACAATTTTGTGCTTCAGCCTTGGTCAGGATTACTCAAAGTTTTAGCTATTAAAGCTCATGTTGCTTTTGTTTAATCAAAACATTTGCAAGTACTCATTGCTGAAAATGCTGCTTTTCCATTGTGAAATTTTTCTGGGCAATGAATGGACAGTCGTTCTTAACAATGCTCTATGCTGAAGAGATGGCTGCTCAAACTGTTATGAATTGATATATTTCTTTTAAAGAGACACAAATTTATATCATCTCAAGACCTGGCCCTGGTAATGAGTTTGAGAGAGCATTTCCTTAAACACAGGATGACCGAGGGAAACCAGAATATAGCAGAATCTTCACATCATGGACTCATAGAATGGTCTGGGTTGAAGAGGACCATAATGATCATCCAGTTTCAACCCCACCTCCACGTGCAGGGCTGCCAGCCGCTAGATGAGGCTGTCCAGAGCCACAGCTGACAAGACAGTACATTTTATGTTACTGATAAACTCCTTCTTTTTGAATAGCAGAAAATAGTAATAATTATATATAGCTACATGCATGCTCTATCGTGGCCTTTTGTCTTCATATAAACTCTGATAATTTTCATCTGATCGTGGCACTTTTAATTTGATCTGTCTCATAAAACCCAGTCTGGAGTGCATTCAGAACTGCCAAAACACAAGTAATGCTGTATTCTAAACACAGAAAGCACAAGTAAAATTTTATATCAAGTAATTGACATCAATTTACCTGATGGTTGTGGATTCCTTTAGAGCATCTGTTTTCAGCTTCATCAGATGCTGAATCATGTAATTGAGCATATCTCTTTCCTACTTAGTATATTTGAAATTTAAGAATCTAAGTTTGATCTGTTTAATTAACCTAAGAAAGATGCTTAAAATAGACTCATGTAGTTAATGTGAAATGACCCCCACTGTCAGAAACAACCTAGCTCTGTGTTTTACATAACACAATTTGTAGTGGGACATAACTGCATAAAATGACTTGAGCTAAAAAATATTTGTGAGGCCTGAGTATATTCTTTGCTTCCCGAACTCAATGTAGGTAATAGTGCATTAAGAAAAACAAGTAAACGAAACAAAAAACAAAACAAATAAGTGAAAAAAAAAAGCCCTCAAAATTAAACAGAAGAGCAATTTTTTTTTGTTTCTATCCTTGATTCCCCTACATGTACTGCATTCTCCTGGACACATAAAGCTTAAAACTTTGATTTGAAAAATATGATCAGAATTTTTTATGTGATCATAATTCCCAGTACCTGGTCATATGACAAAAAAGAGAGAGAGCCCCCTCAGCTGTCCTACAACTTGGAATAAAAGCATGGCAATTGGCATCCCCCCTCCTGCTGGAGGTGAAGACAGCTGATTAGGTCGTGCCAAGGACTACCGGAAATGCACTGGGTAGAAAAACCATGATCTAAAACTTTTAAGAACAGGTGTTTTAAAAGAAAATTAAGGACATGCAGAACATCTGAAAAACTGACCTCTCCTTCAAGGAGGTGACAGCAGATTTCTGGGTCTAACTTTAAGAAGAACCATCTTAGATAAATTAGATTTTCAGACACAGCTTTTTTTTTTTTTTTTTTTTTCTCTTCAACTTTTCACACATGATGAAAGGAACTTGTTGAAGTAGAAGCAGGAGTAGAGAGAGTCATGGCAATTACTTTTCTTCACAGAATCACAGAATTGTAGGGGTTGGAAGGGACCTCCAGAGATCATCGAGTCCAACCCCCCTGCCAAAGCAGGTTCCCTACAGCAGGTCACACAGGTAGGCATCCAGGCAGGTCTGGAACATCTCCAGAGAAGGAGACTCCACCACCTCCCTGGGCAGCCTGTTCCAATGCTCCGTCACCTCACTGTAAAGAAGTTCTTGTGCACATTTGTGCGGAACTTCCTATGCTGCAGTTTCCAGCCGTTTCCCCTTGTCCTGTCTCCATTCACCACTGAAATGCACATACTCCTATATATTTTAAATGTATTCATAGTCTATTATCACATGCAAAGCAATCTCAAGTTTTACAGAAATATATTAATATTTGTGCCTGGATTACAACTATAAGAAATTTTGAAGTCTTGGCTCTTCATAAAAACAGTGATGCAGAGCCTCAGATGCTACAAACTTCTATGCTATTGAAATCACACAAATCTAATAGAAACTACAAAGTGAAGGAGATGCTTAGATCTAGATTCAGATTTGGGTATGAGATCTATGCAGTTCCACTTGGGAGTGATTGATTCTGTAATCTTGCAAAGTATTCTAACGTGCACGGTATTCTAATATTCTGAATACTATAAAACTCAGTGGCTTATAGGGTCATGTGGTTAGTCACCGTGAATGTCAAAGAAGAAAAAAATGTATGGTTACAACAGGTTTACTATCACTTAGATATCAAGATGTGCTCAGGAAGTTCATTTGAGAACAGAACAGAGTACATCAACACCTCAGTTATAGGAAGTAACTAGTCCAGTGTCTGTTGTGAAAAGCACTTAGACTCGCTGCTACGAGTTATAGCTACATCTAAGCAGTTTTGAAAAACAAATAAACCTGATACAGAAAATATTCCTTCTACACTATATGTTGCTGAGATAGAAAGAATATAATTTTAATTTCTGTCCTGCCCAGAAGAGGCAAAGGCATATACTAAGGCTTTAAGGGGCTGTCTGATGCACAGGTCTTGCATCATTTTCAAACAGAAGGGAGGATTCCACCTGAAATGAATTGGGTGCTGAATGGGTAGAAAAGAAATAAAAGCAAGAACAGAGAGGACTCACTGTCTCTTGGGATGCTCTTCTGGAACCTTTCCAGGTCCACGCTGGGTGGTCGGCTGGGCTTCTGTGGGGGCTGGCCCAGCTTGAACAGCGGGGGCAAAGACTTCCGTTTCGGGGCTCCTGAGCTCCTATCCCAGTCATCCTTCTCTTCTGACTCACCCAACGACTTTCCTGCAGCAAACGCTGTGTTTGTTTTATGGAACTTGGGAGGAGATAAACCAGATTCTTCCTGGATGATTTTGTTCAGAAAGATATTCCTGGAGGCACTCACTCCCTTTTCTTCAGTCTTTTCCTCTGCATTTTTGGGAGTGCCTTGAGATGCACTGGGCCAGTGGCCAGTAGGTTTCAGAGCCATGTTAGAAAAATGACTGCCTACAGTTTCTGCAGCGCACTTACTATTTTCATCCATTTCCTTTGTTGCTTTAAATGAGTGCATATTTGGTCTAGGGCCTCCTAGACCTTTATGTGGGAAAGCATTTTTACTTGAGGTGTCTTCGTTGTGGGAAACTGTAAGGTTTACAGTAGGCTTCTGTGCAAGAGCTGGTTTGGAGAAAGAAGGCTTAGGATCATTTTCTTGTGTTGCAGACATGAACTTTTCCTTAACTCCAGCTACTTTTGAAAATGATGCTTTTTCTTCACTCTCTTGTGCTTCAGAATTAAAATTTGGCTTTGTTCCCAGAGGCCTTTTTTCCTTCTCTTGAGGAGCTGAATTAAGAAGCTTGTTCCCTGCAGGTTTTGGATACAGAGACTTCAGTTCTTCTTTTGCCAAGTCACTGCTTTTAGTAGGGGTTTTAGTGTATCCAGCTTTTCCATCACTTTCCCTATTAGTTGCCTGAAGGTGAACCCCAAACCTTTGCCCAATTGGTTTCAAATATGGGGGCTTTGGATCCTTCTCTGTCTTATCTTCGGTTGAAGGCTTGACTGCCAGAGGAGGCTTAGGATGAGCAGGTTTTTGAGAAACACTGGGTCCTGAAGGAGAAGCTGCATTTCCTTGACTTGCAAATTTCTCAAATACTGCTTTCCTTGTTTGTAATCCTGAATGGGTTGGTTGTCCTGTGACTTTAGAGAGTCGAATGTTACCAGAAACATCCTCTGAAGGGCTGCTACCCACGTTAAACTTCGCCATGAGTGACTTCACATCTGCCTTTCCATCCTATGGGCATAGAGAAATAACAAAGAAAAAGAAACAATGAGAAAGTGTCAGTTGAAATGTTCACACATACTGTACTTTAAAGAATTTCCTGGTCTGAGGCTTGTAGTACTGCTGATTGGCTGTGGAGATATTGTAGCACATCTTCCTGTAGGGTTAGAAAAGCTAAGCACTTCGTTGCATTCCTGCTGTGGTTATATAATCTTCTAAATTTTTCATGACAGGTTCTGCATTCAGACAGTGATCATTCAGCTCCTTTTGTTCATAGCATGATTTCTGATTATTTCTGGAACCAGGAAGTAAACAGCTGGTATATATTTACATGAAGATATCCACAACTTCAAAATTAAAGTATTCCAAAATATATGAGTATCCTGTGCTTAGAAAAATAGAATATATTGGAACATGGACAGTACATCAAAATGGTGTTATTCATACCAGATCTTTGGAGAACTGAAAGTTGCATAAACAGAAAGTCTTCTGTTTTGGAGAGATTGTGCGACAGATTTTCTTTCCCTTCTCAGCAATTTGCTTTCCTACAGCTCTCCACCTTCCCCTGCTTTGTCCTTGTTTCTGTTCTCCATTTTATATCTGATAAACACTGCACATGGGTAGACTGAAAGTGAAAATATATGGAGTAAAATGGGAAGAAACAACAACCAGTAAGCAAAAATACTGTAAAAGGAAGAAGATGAAGAGTTCAAAGTGAGTAAAATTCAGTTTCATTAGAAAATGTTATAATTGGACAGCTCTATTTAAGACCTTTGAGGATCAGCCTTCGATATGAACTGAGAACAAAAGCTGAATACAGTTTGACTCAGTGCAGTTGTTACACAGTTCAGTGAAAGATTTGAGCAAAGTGAGGTAGTCACACCACAGTGGCCTGGGTCCACTCTTGTGTTATAGTTGTCACCAGCAGCAGGGGCTACTCCTTTGCAAGCACACAGTAGTGTCAGAACTGATTCATAGCTTGTACTAAGTGAGATCCATTTTATGCAGGAAGGTCAAAATGTAAAACTAATGTTATGAAGCAGGGATGTTAGAGCTAGTAACTGCCCTAAATTCTCTGTTTAGAAACAAAGATTATCACTATCCAGTACAGTACATAATGGTCTAAAAGAATATTTTAAAGTAAGATCAGCAAATGAATTATGTCTTCAGCCAGTACGGTTTCAGTGAGCATTTAGTAATTTTTTAACTTCATTAACAAGATTTTCTGAACTGTGGTTGTCTACTCCTTTTGTCTTCTGTTTGGTTCTGTCATGCTATGAATTTCCTGATAAGCTGGAGTAGTTTCACTTGTGACTTCTGCAACATAAATTTAACTTTCTCAGTCTTTCAATACCACCAAGAAATTCAGTCTTTCCAAACTGCATTGCACTACAGAGCTACTTAAAAGAAAAGCAGCCAAAACAGTTTGAAACCTATCCCCAGAGTACTCGATTATCTCTTTTTCTCTTGTAGGAAAGGGAGGAAATGCATATGTACTATGGAGATTATCAGGCTTAAGCTATCTACTGCTGGTTGCTATACGTGCGCTCAAACACACACACAGTCACACTACACAGATACATAAATATATATCACTAATCATTCAAGATTTCTCACATAAAACCTCACAAAGCACTGATTTTACCCACATAATGAGAAAATTAGGCTGATTTCAGTGCCAGAAAGAGTAACAAAAACTTCTGGTTTTGATCTTTTGAATCAGATGCTTTTTGTTTGTTTGTTTGTTTGTTTTTTGACTTCAGTAGCAAAATCTAAACCATCAAAAAAACAGTGTTTTAAATATTCAGAACTTGTAAATGAAAATCTAATCAATAGCTTGGCCATCTCAGAAGCTTATTTCTTTTGAAAGTTATAGGAATAATTTGGTTCTTCTTTCTTCCATTTGTAATTAATAAAAGCATTCTGTACGAAGCTACAGTAAAGTGAATGTTTGGGATAACAGACATTCAGCACGTAAACCTTTCAGAGGTTGGAAATAGGGATTTTAAGAAAGTTTTCCTGTTGTAATGTGCAGTTTCTGAGAACTTTTCTATATCCTGGCAATAACAAGATCAATTATATTCATACAGGTTTTCAAAGGCATTAAACAATCCACTACTGCCCTGTCAGGACTGTTTATTTTCTGTAAGGACTACCTACATCAATAGATTTGTTTTAAAAAATGCCTTCTTGGCACTGTGAATAGATTTCAAACATTGTCCTTATCAAACAGATGTACAAGCTCATAAAAAACAAGCTCCTGGAGATGTAGAGGGGCTTACAATCAGCAACATAACCTCTCTCACTCACTGTGAGCTCAGTAGTGAGGGTAGCACTCTAAGAATCAAAGGAGAGTAAGAAACTGAGAAATCTTTCTGCGTCTCTATCATGTATATAATCATTCCCTGATTTAACAAACGTGTAACAGGAGCCATATTGAGGATTCTAAGGTAAGATCTAACTGCCAGTTAGGCAGATGGAGAATCTTTTATTAGTGATTTCTGCTGTTCCTGCATTTCCCTTCCCAGAAGGGACAACAGTTACCTCTTCCATTAGCATATACAATATGTTGTACTTAATGAAACAGGAACTTGAAAAGATTGTGAAACTGGATTAAGTTTACCCCATCTTTCCTACCCGAAGTGCAGTGTGCATGTTAGACAGAGGAGTCTCATGCAAGAAGTACTTAGGTAATATTCTAACTTTCTGTTTGCATTCTCTTAGACTCAGTACAACATTCACCTTTTGAACTGGGCCACAAAGATGGTGAAGGGCCTGGAGTATTGCTCCTATGAAGAAAGGCTGAGTAAACTGGGTCTGTTCAGCCTTGAGAAAAGAAGACTGAGAGGGGACCTGATCCAGGTCTATAAATATCTGAGGTGTGGGGGGCATATCCTTCAGATAGGACCCACGCAGATATGAAGATACATTTGCACAGAATTCTTCAAAGAGTAGATTACATTTACATTTCAATGTACAAGTGCAATTCTCCATTATTTACAATATATATATATTTTTTCAAAATAACAGTACAATGAGAACACAGCAAAAGTAAAAATTCCAAATTATTTTCTCTAAAAATGTCAGTCTGAACTGGCAGTCTGATTAAAAACAAAACAAAAATAAATATATATTATTTCATTTCCATCTTGATGAAGCCAAAAGAGTTTTTCACTTCAGCTTCCCACAGTGGTTGCTTTTTCTTTGAGTCAATAGCACCACTGGATCAATGAAGGCAACAATAGATGTGCACATATGGTTTTTAGTTCAACAAATAAAATGTGTGTTACTGTAGCATGTACAAGTTTACGAAGCTATCACTTTAAGAAAAAAAGCATGCATATATGTGAACTCTGTTATTGTGAAAAAAAAATTACAAAAGCTGCTCACCACTGAAGGAATTGAGCTCTAATCCATGGACAAGATATAATGCATAAGGTATGGGGAAAAAAAGGTAAAGAAAATGAGTAATGCAAATTAAGGATAAATACAAATCTGAAAGTCAGTTGGCAACATAAAAGCCTAATTTAGGTTCTACAGAAGTGTATGGATTGAGGGATTTTAGCTATTTGCATAAAATTCTAGTATTCTATATTAATGATAAATTTTGCTTGACTATTTCTTTTTCCAGACAGAGAGATTTCAAAATTACCAGTTGTACAGCAATTGGCAAAAAAATAACAATTTTTTATTTTTGGAAGGGACAAATAATTTTCAATTTACTTGTCTTGACTCTGGTTGTAATAATTAGTTAAATAAAACTTCTTTTAATTAAGAGTTCAACATTTGGAAAGTGGAGTCAAGATATTGCAGTGTTCTGTACCTACAGATGTACACAGCAGAAGTGTGAAAAACAAGCAGAAAGACAGCATCTGCTCAAATAGAAAGAATGGCAGATACAGTGCTTGTAGAGTAATGAGCCCAATATTTCAGATTGGAAATATTGAAAGGGCCAGCAGTTATTCTCTTTGCTTTTCTTGAAAGGCTGACCTTTCAACAGGTCTGCAGGACAGGATAGATGGAGATCTATGGGATTCCTTGGAGAAAGGTCAACAGCCTTTTTGTCTCCTTGATGAAATCTTTTAAAATATCTGATGCCAGCAAATGAAAGTAGCACATCCACACAGACATGTGGTTGTCAAACTGAGACAACCTGACTACACAGTATTCTGTATCTTTTCCACAGTGTATTCCACTAAACCTCTTTTGTCCCTCTCTTGTAATGTTTTCTCATCTGTCCCGCAATCCTAAGACCAAATACACAGTATTGCAGAAAAATGAGAACAGTGTAATACTTCTATTCCTGTAATACTTCCATTCCATTCTGTGTACAGCAACTACCTTTCAAGAATCTTTAATTTGACTCTGATCATTCTAATAAAGCTAATTGAACTTGTCTGAATCTCAAGGAAAAAAGAAACCTCAAGCTCTTGGCACTGTAAAGATCCTACCACTACTTCTAGAATTCCAAGATCCTGTATGACTTTAAAGAACATTTTGTGCAGTGTTAAGACATTAATTACTGTTCTGAAGCTCTACTGGAAAGAAAAATATCTTCCATGACCCACTACAAAAAATACTTGCAGTCTTTTTAGTATCTCTCATATACACTGACATTCAATGATATCTCAATTCAGAGTATGATATATGTAAAGAAAAAATACCTCCAAACCAACAGCCACAAATAATACAAAAAGATTAAGCTGAGTTGTAGCTAGATGATTTATAATTCTATCTAGAAAATAATTGCCTCTAATTGCCTCTCATTTCTCTTAGTCTTCAAAATGCAAATGTCACTTAAAGTAGGGCTGCCTTTAGTAAAAACTCAGGCAACCAAACACAAACCTTAGAGAGAGAAAAGACAGTTTCATCAACTTGGCAACTTTTCAGCTGGACAATTAGTTGCAAGAAAATTTTACAATAGCATTTCCACATGTACAAGGTCATATATAATATCTTGCACTGTTTATATATTTTTTTTCCTTGAACTTTGTGCTTTTATTTATTAGATAAACAAGTACAACAATTTACCTGGACTTCCCAAAGCTCTCCAATATTTTGATACAAGCAGAAAAACGAGCTCCCTCAATGAGAGAATCCACGGAGTCTGTCACATTAGCAGCCTATTGTGTTTGCTAAGAGGAGTTCTCAGAGAGCTTGCCTAAGAGAGGCTTTGCTTGTGGTTTTCATTATCATGACCAGTAGAAAAAAAGCTGCTGTCCTCAGGATATTAGGTAAGAAGTGGCAGAGGAAAAGGGAACTAAAATGTGTTCAGGCTGGCTGTTGCCACCGGCTACATTCATTACACGATATCTTAAGAGCAGTGTGAGCTCCAGCATTGCATTTGCACCATACTGCCGTATTGGTATGTACAAGCTTGAATTTTAGAGAACAGTATTTAAGGAAATATTTGTGGGAATTAAAATTGTAAAGAAAGCATATGGACCTCTTGGGTCATGAAGTCTAACCACCTGCTGCCAAAAAGAATCACTGCATCCATTCCTAGTCATCAACCGAAGATGTCAGCTAAGGTGTTGTTTTGCTCCCACTCTTGCCAGTAGTTTCTCAAGACATTCTGCTGGCCATTTTTTCTAAAGCTTTCGCTTTAGCAGAGTTTTTGTTGTTGTTGTTTTTAAATTATGATCATAATCCTTTTTTTTTTTTTTTTTTTTTTTTTTTTTTCCCTCACCCTTTTGCCTCTCAGTTTACTGCAAAAATCAAAGACTTTGGTATGATATAGGATAAGAAAGATAATGAGAAAACGAGTTTTATGAGGAACTCCAAACCTGCTGAAGATAAATCCAAAACATAAGGCACAACCCTCTGCTAAATACAGCTCAGTGAACTTTCTGGAGCTCTGCATGGTAATGAGATCGCAGATGAAAAAATTTGTCTTCAAGCTTCACTAGATGTTGTTTGCTTCTTCCTCATTATTCATCACTTCTTCTTCTGTGCATTTTTTTTAAATTTTTTGAATGCCCAATTAAAGCACTGGAGGTGCTTGGCATTTCTGGATTAGTTGTGCAAACATTTCTATTTTAGCTAGTTCAGAAGACTATTAGCGTGTTGGAGAAAGCTTATTTGAGACAAAAATACTACTACTTTCTCTGTATTTGTCACTTGCCAATGAAAACAATTTTTAAAAATTGCATCAATTTTTTTTTTCTTAGTGGGAGAAATGCAGTTCTGAGCAATATTCTTCATGCTATTCATTCTGCTATGCCCTGTATTTGATTTATAAACCCATATTTATTTGTGAAAATACACATTGATCACAAGTGATGAAGCTTTTATCATTAGTCTTACAGCAGATTGGACTTTGTAACTTGCTATTCTATTTGGCAGACTGCACAACTGTTTTACAGTGCTATATGTAACAATATAGTCATTTCACACTGGTAAACTACTACAAGTTATGGCTCACATTATCAGGCAAATCATACAGCGATCAAAGAATGAACTCCTCTTGGAAGCTCTGAGTGCTAGAGAGTTCCTGCCTTCTCTTTCATCCACTGCACAGTTGTAAAGACGTTCCTAATTGATAGAAGGCTGCTGAGAAAATGAATTGCAACAAAAACACTGAAAATCACAGTTTAGGCTGCAAAAGTGCTGTGAACGTTGCTCATCTACAATATGTATGATTCATTTTATACTTGCAGGTGCAACGGCTTCCTGGATCCCCTCTGTTTCTTCCACATAGAGTGGAGTATGTTTCTGAGTACTTTGGGGAAATTAGTTTTTCTTTATCTGAAGAAAGAATGTGAAGGAATTAGTATTTTAAGGAACATGATCTGCAAGCCTGAAAGCACACTGGAGCTGTTTTGTACTACTACTACTTTCCGCAAAAACAGAAGCAGAAGCAGCAATAAGAACTTCACAGACTCAAGCATGACAAACATATCAAATAAAGACGCTATCTTCTTGTATAGAAGCATACCATTCCAGAATTGGTGTAGACCAAAACTGGCATCTACAGCCCAGTATAACAATGACTTTCCAAAATTCTCAAGTGCAAAATTTATCACTGCAGTCTTATGTGCTTTTTGTTAATAGAGCATTTACTCCAATTTTGGTTTCCACATATCTTTTGGAAAAATGTCTGCTTAATAATTTATTTTGTCATAATCAGACAAAAGATAAAAGGGGAAAAAAAGTTGCCTCTGACTTGCTCTGCATTAAGATGCTTTAAGTTTATTTTTTAAGGCAACTTTCATACATTGTTGTTCACCCTACAGCGGCAGTCAGTTGCAACTGTCTGAACGGCTTTGGGCTTCCAGGTCAGTGCTCACAAAGAATGTCACAGTCATGATCTTGTTACAGCCACGGCTGTGTTGGTATCTTTACTTGGTATGCTGTGAACTGGAGAGGTGAAAGTCTATTAAGAAAAAAAAAAAAAAACATAACTTTTTTGCTTTCCATGTTGTTTTAGCATGCTTCATTTCGCTGATCTTAGTGATCAATGTGATTCCAAAGCAGGTCTGATAGCATAACAGAATCAGCTGTGGAGACTGGAGGGAGATTGGGAGATGAGCAACACAGAAATTATTTTTTGGCCAAGTAATCCTTAAACCACATCTACAAAATGTTCATGGGAGAGCCCTTTCGGACAGGTGCACTAATATCAATAAAGCAAGCCTGGCAGTCCCCTTCCTAGGTCAGAAGTAGTTGTTCCATCTGTAATGTAAAATGCATGCAGATATGTGGAGTGCTTAATAAAAACAAGTCAGTTTTTCGGAGAAGCCTGTCTTTCAACCTCCTCATAACTCCCGTAGGTCTTTTGCCACCTAGTGGCAGACCAAGTTCAGCAGAAGAGATTATGTATTTTTCCTGCTGAAAATCAGTTGCATGTTCCTGTTCTCAGAGGGTTAGTCTGTCTAGTTTCATGCCACTCCTGGAAGATAACACTTCAACAATTCTACCACAGTCAGAAGACGAGGCAATGAGTTAATATGCCTGCTTAGCACTGCTATGCCAATCCTGGGAGCTGTGCTGAGAGTGTGTGCCATACAGCCGCTGCCCACGGCAGGTAGCCATGGCTGTGATCCAGTTACAGTATCATTTTGGAAAGCACCTGATTTTCAGTAGAAATTTGATATTCATGAACACTGGCAGGAGCTTCTGTTTTTATTGCTATATTTCTTGTCAGAGCAGACTGTGTTATCTTTGTGTCTGCAAGACGGGGCCAGACTTCCTGAAATGTGTGCTGTTCTAATTCCACAAGGTTGATATTTGAAAGCAGTTTTAGTATTTCTGACACAAGTTTGATGTGGTCATGAACAAATTAACGGCATTGTCTCATGTCTAAATGCACTGTCATATATACGGCAACAGCTGGGCTTCCCAGATACTATTTGTGGACAGCTGACAGGCAGGATACCCTGAAAGAGCATCAAGTTGATGCTGTGGTTCTTTTAGACTGCCATAATTAAATTCTGATGAAAGTGTTGAATATAATTACCAACTCAAGATTTCTTTATACTAATGGGAGTCAGCTTTTGAAAACTGAAGAAAGAAGGCAAAAGATGATGACAGAACGTCCCCATGCCCGTTAAACTTTGCAAAGCAAATGTTTCCGCCATAGAGGAAAGTTCAGTGTACTCCAGAGTGTCACAGTCATGTGCCTGTCCTTGTGGATCAGCTTGGCTGTAAGCACTGCACTAAACCACTCATTTCAGAGCATAGGTCTTCCAGTGAACATCAAAAGCTGATGTAAAACCACTATTAGTACAAAAAAAATTATATTTTAAAAGATTATTATTATTTTTTTTTTATAGCTTGACCTGAGCTCTGTTGGCTCAGACCCTACGAAACATTTCCTGAAAGGCAAAACCTGTTTTTGGATGCAAAACCTGTCTCTGATTAGATGGGAATGCTGAGCCTTCACTAAATGGTCCATAGGCACCAGAAAAGCTCTCTTGATAGTGCAGGGCTGACTGTGCTGGAGAGCAGCCCTGACATGCTCAGACACACCACATTGCCCCTAACTTCCCACACACCACAGTTCATGTCTTGCTGAGGAGCACAGCTGGCACAGATAGCAGCTTGATTAGATGGTTTAATGATTAAGATGAGCTAAATAGCAGGTGATGGGCGTGAAGCTGACTGCTGAGTTTTCAGTAGTGTGCTCTGGGCTCGTGGTAAGGACATTCAGATATGCTGTCCACAGGCCCGGGGGCCGTCTTGGTAAGGCATGCAAGGCAGGAAGCTGCTAAAATCAGTAGGTGAGTGGACGCTATAGAAAATGGTATAAGGACGGTGGAGGAGTGTGGCAGGGCTACAATGAGTTGGGCAGGGGCATTTTGTGGGGGAGAGGAGCTTGACAGCTGGGAAGAATGGGCAGCCCTTTGTCTCCCCTCACAAAGTTGTGCTCCCTCTGTTCCCCCCATGCACCTCAGCAGAGCCTGGCCCTGCCCTGCCCCACGTCAGTTCTGCCTCTCTGCATTATCCCTGCCCAGACCTAGAATGCCAGGCAAAGCCTTGTGACTGGCTGGGACCAGCAAGGCTGGGACCTTGGCATGGCCACCCTTAGTAGTTACTGTGTCCTGGAAGCAGGAAAAGGAGAAAAGAAGAATCCTGAAGTGGGAGAAGAGAGTATTTGGTGGTAAGTGAGGAGTATACATGGTCAAGTGGGGAATTATCTGCTGGATTGGCTTCCTCCTCAGCAGATATGGTGGGATATGAGGGAGGAAGCAGCTTTCATACAGAAGAAGTTATTTCAGTTACCTCCCATATATACCCCGGTATAAATATTTTGGTGGGGAACTATTTGGCCTGGCTTTCCCCTCAGCATGCCCCCAGCTGCTGTTACCAGCAGGAAGAAGAAGTGGAAAAGCAAGAGGAACAGACATCCTTAGCAAAACGCCTCTAACTTCCCTTTTTCCTCAACGTGTCCTTCCCCACCTCTGCCTGGGAAGAAAAAAAAGTTCAAGAACATGCAAATCACTCACCAGCAGTTGTGCAAACTCTTTTGGAGGGAGAGAGAGATGGCCCTGTGCTCCCCATGCCTTCACATGCAAACTTCTCGCCCTTTTCATGTGTTAAACACCTGCCAGCTCATTTGTTTTCAGTTTGGAGAAGCAAAACAGAAACCCTTTCCTAAAAACATTCCAGCTCCAAAGCAAGGTCC